GGATCAAATTTGATCCACAGCCTGTTCTTGTACAGCCTATAAATTAAGAATGATTGTTACATTTTCAAAAGGCTGAAATAGAAAAAGAAAAGAAACAAAGAATATGTAACAGACTTTATGTGGCCCGCAAAGCCTAAAATATTTACAATCTTCCCTTTTAAAAAGGTCCAAAAAAGTTGGTTTAGTAGAATGAGAGGAATTAAAGTTAACCTCAGATTGTTGCCTAAAGGAGAAGAAAATATAGACCACCTATGTTAATTTGAATGCCATTAACCCAGAATTTTATGATAATTTAATCTAAATTAACATTTAAATATTAATTAACTAAACAGATGAATTATGCAAGTAATATTAAGAATGGTTAAGGAACCAAGAGAACGACTGATATTAACAATTTCAATGCAGGAATTGTTATACTCATATTAAAAATAGATGTTTCAAAATGATGGTTAAATGGTATAGCTAGAAATGTTTGTATAGTATTTCTGTCTGTTTTGAGATACCATGTTCTTTGCTGTGAAAGCTTGAATTTTATCTTTTCTCCATGGATCCAGAGGTGTGTATGTCATTAATTCTTACTAAGCTAATTAATGATGCTCTTTAGCAAACAGATACTTCATTCAAATGTAGAAGGCTTAAGGGAAGGTGGGTATAAAGAGCCTCATGTGACACTAAAAATAGTCTTTTGAACTATCAAACCTTCTATGCCTTACAAGGATGACCACTTTCATATTGGTCTTCTTGGGCACCTCTGCCATCTGGCCTCCCAAACTGCACACACACATTCTGGAGAAAAACAAACGAGAAAACTGCTCAGTGGAGTAGGCCCTTCATTACTTCTACTATGAAATACTTTGTTAAGCTCATTATCCCATGTTGGCATGTGTATTCTCATTCATTAGAAAATATGCCAGTCAATAAATAAAAGCTAAAAAAGAATAATATGCCAAGCACTACGCCCACTATTGGAGACACAAAGATGAGAAAGACAGGGTCACTACCTTCTAGGAAATCATGATCTCTCAGGGTAAAGAAACTTATAAGCTCAAACCACAATACAACAAGCACTAAGTGGGTGACAGTGCTGCAGAGCAGCAGAAGAGGCCATGAAGCAGCACAACTACATTTCTTTTTAAAATAGTCACTGTCCTTCTTCTACTCATTCCCCAGCTATTTATTTACTTTATAAATATTTGAGTTTGCTTTATTTCCACGTGTTGGTTTTATTTTTCTATTTTTATTTTTTTTAACCAGCACGTGTTGGTTTTAAACATCTTGAGGAATGCAGACGAGCAAAACCTAGTCCATGCTTTCAAGTTTATGCTCTGAAGAAATGGGATGCAAAAATAACTGTATTAAAAATAACAAAATGGGGCCGGCCTGTGGCTCACTCGGGAGAGTGCGGTGCTGATAACACCAAGGCCACGGGTTCGGATCCCATATAGGGATGGCTGGTTGGCTCACTGGGTGAGTGTGGTGCTGATGGCACCAAGTCAAGGGTTAAGATCCCCTTACCGGTCATCTTTAAAAAAACAAACAAACAAACAAAAAAACCAAAATGAGTATGGGCACTAAGAGGTATAAATTGTTTCTGGAACACAGAAGAAGGAGAGAAGACTTCGAGTTGTGTCAGGGAAGATGTTACTTAGAGCAGTGCTGTTTAACAGGACCTTGAAGGGTCTTTGGGTATCATCAGACAGACATCTTCAAGAGAATATTCTATGCTTGCAAAGGGAAAGTGGCAGAAAGGGAGAACACAGGAAAGGATTTGAGGAATGCGATGAGTACATGTAGGGTACAAGTAGGGAGAATAGAAGATTGGAAGCAGATCTTCTAGGGCTTTGAACGCTAGGCAAGGGAGCCACCCGGGGGCCCCTGTTGTCACAGCAGTGCTCTGAGACAAATAAGCATGCATCAGAATCACTTGGCCTGGTTAGAACAGGTTCTGGACTCCATCCCCACAGTTGCTGAGTCTGTTGGTCTAGAGTAGGGCCTAGAATTTGCATCTTCAGTAAGTTCCCAGGTGATGCTGGTCTTTGAGAACCAGTTCTAGACAGTTCATCTGGTGACTGTGCAGGATGGATTAGAAAGGGAGAGACTACAGCCAGAGATACAAGTCAGAGAACAGTTATACCCATCCAGGTGAAAAGTGAGGGACAAGCTGGAATCAACAGAAATAAGAGAGTCAGTCGTGGTCAAGAATGGGTGTTTTCTAATAAAAACCTAGTTCCAGGTTGATTTTTGTTGTCTCACCATTTAATTAAAAAAACTCCTTTCATTGAATATTAAGGCAATATAAAACCAAAAATAAATTTCTACTAATATGATGAAAAGTGTAATTCTGAATAGAGGATTAACTTCCTTTCAAGTGATATTTTGTTTCTTCTTCCTTTTTCTTCTTTCTTTTGTGTCTGGCCAGTAGATATCTTTTATTTCTTCTAGTTATTGAACTGGCTTAGAAAAACAGAACTAAAACAGGAAGGTGTATGAATATGAGAATATTCCTTTTAATATTAGAAATTATACATACAGCTAAAAACTTTGAGCTGATAATCTAGAATTTGATGAGACTATAAAAGGTCATCTAGTCAATTCTCCTGGGCTCAGGAAAAATTATCTCCAAAATCTGTCAAAATCTATAATTGTATATTCTATTTATGAGGATCATGATGGTGAGACTATTGGGAGAGATACAGGCAAGGTGAGGGGCTCTTGAAAGTCCAACTACAAGTCCAAAGGTTTAAAGTCTAGACAAAAATTCCATATTCAATATTATCACTCTAAACTCTACTATTTTTTCCTACTAATTATGTACCTAATAGCCAATCAAGGCAATATTTTCCTTTTCCTTTTTCTAGAGATCTATCCTGCCGTGTCCGCACCTCGCTCAGCCAGTGAGCGGGAACCGGTCTCCACATGGGATCCGAACCCTCGGCAGGAGTGCTGCCGCGCTCCCAAGCGGCGCACTCTCCAGTGTGCCACTGGGCTGGCCCAAGAATGGGTGTTTTCTAATAAAAACCTAGTTCCATGTTGATTTTTGTTGTCTCACCATTTAATTAAAAAAACTCCTTTCAGGGCCGGCCCGGTGGCACACTGCTACAGTGCGCCGCTCGGGAGCGTGGTGGTGCTCCCGCCGAGGGTTCGGATCCCACATACAGACCGGTTCCCGCTCACTGGCTGAGCGAGGCGCGGGAGCGACGCCGAGGGTTGCGATCCCGTTGCCGGTCCTGGTCCGGTATCGGTGCGACACTGAGGGTTGCGATCCGTTGCCGGACACAAAAAAAGACAAAAAGGAAAAAAAAAAAAAAAAACCTCCTTTCGTGGGGCTGGCCCGTGGCTCACTCGGGAGAGTGCGGTACTGATAACACCAAGGCCACGGGTTCGGATCCTATATAGGGATGGCCAGTTCACTCACTAGCTGAGCGTGGTGTTGACAACACCAAGTCAAGGGTTAAGATCCCCTTACCGGTCATCTTTATATAAAAAAAATAATAATTAAAAAATAAATAAATAAACAAAACAAAACAAAACAAAAAAACAAAAACTCCTTTTAGGGCCGAGCCCGTGGCACACTCGGGAGAGTACGGAGCTGGGAGCGCAGCAGCACTCCCGCTGCGGGTTCGGATCCTATATAGGGATGGCCGGTGCGCTCCCTGGCTGAGCGCGGTGCAGCCGGTCACAAAAAAGGACAAAAAAAAAAAAAAACTCCTTTCATTTAATATTAAGGCAATATAAAACCAAAAATAAATTTCTACTAATATGATGGAAAGTGTAATTCTGAATAGAGGATTAACTTCCTTTCAAGTGATATTTTGTTTCTTCTTCTTTCTTCTTTCTTTTGTGGCTGGCCAGTAGACATCTTTTATTTCTTCTAGTTATTGAACTGGCTTAGAAAAACAGCTAAAACAGGAAGGTGTATGAATGTGAGAATATTCCTTTTAATATTAGAAATTATACATATAGATAAAAACTTGGAGCTGATAATCTAGAATTTGATGAGACTATAAAAGGTCATCTAGTCAATTCTCCTGGGCTCAGGAAAGATTATCCCCAAAATCTGTCAAAATCTATAATTGTATTTTTATTTATGAGGATCATGACGGGGAGACTACTGGGAGAGATATAGGGAAGGTGAGGGGCTCTTGAAAGTTCAACTACAAGTCCAAAGGTTTAAAGTCTAGACAGAAATTCCATATTCAATATTATCACTCTAAACTCTACTATTTTTTCCTACTAATTATGTACCTAATAGCCAATCAAGGCAATATTTTCCTTTTCCTTTTTCTAGAGATCTATCCTGTAATAAAATACAGGCCATTGAAAGACGCACATTTGAAGCGCTGCCTTTTTTGAAGTCTCTGTAAGTTACAGTAACAACTTTATTATATTTGGAATTTTTATAAAAATTGTAAACCTCTTTGCTGTCCATTTTGAAATATGATTAAAATTTTATTAGTAGTAAGTTACTAAAATTACACAGCAAACCCTTTTCATCTCTAGCAAAGATTAGTGTGAGCATTATTACATGATCAGAGTGAATTGTGATAGAGCAATGGCTGTCAGCCAGTGTGATTTTGAACCCAGGTGACATTTGGCAATGTCTGAAGACATTTTGGGTTGTTACAACTGTGGGTGTGCTTCTTGCATATAGTGGGCAGAGACCAGGAATGCTGCTGAACAACCTACAATGTACAGGACAAACCCCCACAACAAAGAACTATCCAGCTCAAAATGTCAAAATGTCAAATAGCACTGAAGTTGTGAAACCCTATCTAGAGAAATGAAGATCACTTAACATAAGTATCTACTGAGTATTGCACTGTTTTGTATCTAATACATCACATGTGTAAATATGAGTATAAATCATAAGCCAGTAGCTTCCACAGTGGTATTTCTTTGGTGTATGGAGAAAGTATTGAGATTATGTTTCATTGTGTATAAATTTAGAATTACTTTCAGAATATCTTCTTTCTTCTTGTCATTTGGCTTCTTTTTCTTTTTTTTGTAGAAATCTTCGTTGCAACTTAATCAGTGAAGTGAGCTTCGGAACATTTCAGGCATGGCACGGGTTTCAATTTCTAAATGAGTTGTAAGTGAAACAGAAGATACAAATGTAAAAAACTATTTATGTATAAAAACACCATACAGTTCTTTGTTAGCTGGGTATAAGCCATTATGAACGCTGAAAATATGTCTTAAGATCCATTCATTTTTTTCAAATAGGGAAACTAAGGTACAAAGAGGCCAAGAAGCTTGTGTAGATATGCTCTGCCTTCCTTGGTAGTGATCTTTGACATGGGCAATAAAAGGCACCGAGCAAGTATGTGGGCCAGTTAGCTTACCTGGGAGAGCATAGCACCAATAACACCAAGGTCATGGGTTCGGATCCCAGTATGGGCCAGCTGCCAAAAAGAAAGAAAGAAAGAAAGAAATTAGTATAGTTATAGGAGGCCGTATGATGCTGCCCTGACACATGAATGGTCCTTGAAACTATGCTGAATTTAACTTAGATTTCTGCTCACATGCAGAGTTCCTAACTGCTTGTACTAGTCCATTTTCATTGCTTATAACAAAATACTTGGAACTGGGTAATTGATAAAGGAAATGAAATTACAGTTTCTGAGGCTGGGAAGCCCAAAGTCCATCTGGTGATGGTGACAGTGATTCAGGGATCTCACATTGCAAGAGAGGCTGGGAAGCCCAAAGTCCATCTGGTGATGGTGACAGTGATTCAGTGATCTCACATTGCAAGATGGTGGAAGCTGAGAGAGCAGAGAGAACAAGAGAAGGACATAAAGGCCTCAGAACCACCTCCTGACCACCGTTTTTAATCCATCCACTACTGCACAATCCTACAATCCAATCACCTTTTCAAGGCTCCACCTTTCAATTACCATAATAGGATTTCTCACACTGATAACAGTCACAGTGGGGCTAAGTTTCTAATATATCAGACTTGGGGGACATAATTCAAGCTTCAGTGAGTTTTGGGGGAACATAATTCAATCCACTACACTGCCTAAGAATGTTTAACATGTAGCTGCAGAGAACAAAGCTTAACAGAAAGTCCTCCAGGGAGCAAAAGGTGTGCAGATGCTTTCTCAGTGCCAGTTTTTTGTAAATGGTGACGTAGAAAGAATTTCAGAAAACCTCTCCCAGAATACTCCTCTCCCCAATCACCCAGAACATTAGTTTTCAAAATTATATACCTCTGAATTTATGAATTATCTGTGGGCAATGCAAAGCTTTGAGGTGTGGGAAAAGATGGTATTTACGTTAAGCTACAGTGTGAAAAATATCTGTAAAGAAAAGACATTGCTCTAGCCTAATTCCATATACTTTTTTCCTGACTCCTCTTTAAGAAAAAGTATTGAAGGTTTTACTCCCTTTCAGCTTAACATGTCTGTGATTTCTCTGTGACACAGGCAAATCCTAGTGGGCACGTTCAATGGCCTTCAGGGGATTTTTGACTCGAGGTGAAGTTTTTTTGTTTTTTGGTGACGGGCTGGTATGGGGATCTGAACCCTTGACCATGGTGTTATCAATACCACACTCTAACCAACTGAGCTAACCGGCCAGTTGAAGATTCTCCTCTAAACCTGACTTTGGAAAGGATAGTCCACCTGTCTTGTGGTTCAGAAACCCAGTTTCACACAGTTCATCTTGGGTTAGAGGAAGGGTTCAGGATGTGTGTGCAGCTAGATGACTAGTTCCTGCATGTGTCCATCTGTGGTGGCCTCTTCTCTCCCCTCATCAATTTGCTGATGCCTGACTTGGGGAAAGAACAATGGGCATCTGCTTTGCTTTCATCTGCACATAAGAGAGCTGTCTCGGGCCCCTCCACCAAGAGGTTTTGGTAGCGTCAATACAAATGTCTTAACCAAGAGGTTTTGGTAATGTCAATACAAATGTCTTAATCCACCTTTACAAAGCATTCTAAAAGACTGAAAGTCCCTTATAAGAATCCAAGTTTCGGGCTGGCCTGTGGCTCACTCGGGAGAGTGTGGTGCTGATAACACCAAGGCCATGGGTTCAGATCCCATGTAGGGATGGCCGGTTAGCTCGTGGGTGAGCATGGTGCTGACAACACCAAGTCAAGGGTTATAACCCCCTACTGGTCATCTTAAAAAAAAAGAAAAAAGAATCCAAGTTTCATGGTGGTTATGTAGGTAATATGGGGAAAAAATCACAAATAATAAAGCTTAATGAATTAATTAAAAAACATTTACTGGGTGCCATGCCCACTGTGTGCTAGGCACTGTACTAAGTGTGGGGGGTCCAAATTGGAATAGGACAGAGACTTTGTCCACAAGAGACTTTCATACTGGAAGGAGGAAGATGGATATTGCTGGGAAAAAAACATGAGAGCCATGCCAGGATCTGTGCTGCAGGGTAACAAGATAGGGGGATGACAACATAGGAAGGTGTGGTGGGTTAGGAAGGACTTATAATGGTGGAGGCACCAACTTGTTTATCTTGAGTTTCTATGTTAATCTTAAATAGCAGAAACAGGCATTTGCTTCATTGTGGTAAAAAAATAATAAGAGCTACCTCATGTTGGACACTAATACTCATATCATGTGATCTGAATAGAGCTGTACCCCTCAAACTGATTCACAGTTACTTTCAAAGACTGGCACAATGGTCACAATACACCAAGTATACATTGGGGGCTGGGCTCCTTTGTTTGGGGTCAAGTCTTTCTAATAGACAAAGCTAATTTGCTTGAGGAAACGCTTGCCATAATTAGATATAAGCATCTCTTTCCAAAGACAGGTTGCCAGGGGAGGATGTCAGGAATTTTCTGACTGATATGACACAGTTCTGGGATGTTTACAAGTTGAAACAGTTATTTTTCTCTGAAATACAAAAGTTCATAAAAATGTGCCAGCTGAGATGGATTTACCATGAATTGAATGGAGCCTAAGCTTCAGGGCTCCTCACTTGCACAGGCCCTTTCCAAGGTCCTGGGAGGGGCCCTAGCAATTTTTGTATTCATAATTTTGCATGTTTTATTAGAGAGGATTTCCCAAATTAGATAATGTTTAGGCCCCACAAAACCTGGATTCACCTGTAGGTTCCAGGTAATTACAACCTCGTAAATCTCTTGCATGAAGTCCCTATGATATTGACAAGCACTGATGGAACAAGTCAGCAGTGTGGTGGGGTCAGTCTATTTTGAATCTGAAATCCACCTCAAAGATGTGCTAAGAGCTTATTAGTAAGGTACCACTCTTTGAATGGTAGTAATAATCAAATCTCTCTCAGATGAAATCAGGAATGAAATATGTTATGGAAAACCAGCGGTGGTTGATAATCCTAAATGTTAAGTATACTGTTTTCCCTGACTTTAAATTGCATCTCCTTCATTCACCTACACAAGCCCAGACTGATGGCTTATTTTAAAAAATTCTTTTAGTCGCTTCGTTCATTCTAACAATCCAAGCTCCATGATTTTAGAAACTGAAGGACTCTATGATGTAGAAAGACTGTACCTTATTCAGATAGAGCACATGCACATTCTGGCTTGTGTGTGGCACATCAGTATTGTACCAAAGAACATAAGCACTGAGAGAATAAGAGGAAAATCCAAACTATACTCCATTGAATTATCCCACTACTGAGAATATCAATGACATAGATATGGCCCCACTACGAAAGCAAATTGAGCTGTGGTCACAGAGACACTCTATTGCTTCTTATACCACCCCCCACCCCCAGTCCCTAACCCTAAACCATTGGTTTCCTTGAGATAGTTGCAGACACATAGAAGTTTGCACACTTCAGGGTGTGCTCATCACTTTTCGATATGTACCGGAATCCTGGCAGCTTCTTCTCAGATTCAGAGAGGCATAAACATTAAGATGAAGATAACAATGTGGGCCTGTCCTTTGGAGTAATTTAGGGTGGTTGTTTAATTTGTAATGGTTCAAAAGTTTTGAGATTGTCACACCCAGTAACTATTTTACATTTTTTCTCCCACCTGTATAATAAGGTATCTTTTCTTCTCTGGGAATCTTAGTAATTCTTCCTCTGCCCTGTAACATTTCTTTAATACCTACATTTATGAGGTGCTTATTATGTCCCAGGCACTATATTAGTACTTATGCAAGTGAGATAACATGCAGGTAAGTTCTTAGAATAGTGTTTGGCACATGGTAAATGCTCGGTACATGTTCTCTCCTGTATCTCATTTTCATTTTCTAGCAGTTCTTGTGATGTAGACATTATTATCCTCATTTTGCAGATGAGGAAGTTAAGACTCGGAAATGTTGACAACTTGCCCTAGGTTCACACCATTAAGAAGTGGCAGAACCACTTACAAGTCATGAAGCTCTTTGTTCCCTTGTAATAGGAGCCAAATGATGACAATTCAGCTTTTTATGCATTTTATCTTGAAGTTAGTTTCTAACTTGAATAGGACCTTTAGAGCAGAGGACTCCATTTCCACCTGAGAATTCCCCACTTCTCGAGCTGCTGGCCAGGCCACCTCTGGATATCCCCAGGGTTTCTGCTTAATGGCAAATACAGATACGACATCATTACTGCTGAGCACCTGCCCTGTGCCCAGTCAATGCTAGGTGCTTTACACATGCTCTTCCATTTAATCCTCAAACTGCCCTGTGAAGTAAATGATGCTAAGTCAGTCACTTACCCAGAAAGTGACAGAGCCAAGATTCAAACCCAGGTCTTCCTGATCCAGAGCCCTGGCTGCTTCCATGTTCCTCACTGCCAGGGAGTATTCTATGAGGTTATTTGTCCTTTCTTCCTCACTGTCAAGAGAGTCTTTGTCAAGGCTATTGTCAGAACTTTGATTATGATATAGGCTCACCATTTCAGATCCTTTAGACTTTGCCCCTAAAAAAGGGTTTATGTGATGCAGTCAGAGGTCTTGTGTTGAGGAGCTTCATGTGGGCAGTCAGGTTCTCATGGGTCATGAGTGTACGTAGATGAATAAAGGAGAGGGGTTACTCCATCCCCAAAGACTTCACACATATCAGAATATCACTGCTTATTTCTTCGACTGCCTTTCTCCAAGCAACCAGTTTTCCCTGCCTGCCTTGGGATTCTAGCATACATAGTTTTGGA